TGTAGATTATGCATGTGTTAAATAGTTTACACTAGTTTGTTTTAGCTCCTGCATTTTATTGTTTCCTCTGCTACTTAAATGATTGTAATAATAGTACTAAGGGGCAAAAAAATATATTTGTTTTCTCTTTTCTTCCTTTGTTTTTGTTCTTTTATCAAAAAAGGATCATTTATACTTTTGTAGGGTGGTTGGTGCTCTCATTGAGAGAAATCTCAGTTTCCAATAAGAAAATGTTAAATTATCCGAACAACCAGTTAACAATGCATAATATATAACAAATGTTCGAGGGCCTAATGGCGACACAAGAAGAAATTGCAAAGCAAATGGAAGGATCAATTGAACACAATCATGGCTTCGATGGAAGCAAAACTTGCCTGGCAAGCTCGGGCTGAGAAAGCTAAGGGGGTGGTACAATCGTCTAAGGTTAAAGCTATTAGTGTTATAAATCCAAATACCCAATTTGTAACGGGCTTGGTTATTATGACAATTAGTAGAATTAGTAGAAGTACATAGTATTTAGATAGTGTATATCAACTACTGATTTGCAGACTACTTCAAGAGTTACTCGAATAGAGGAAAACTAAGCTATAAGAAGAAGGGGAAATTGACTCAAGTATGAAGGCAAAAAACTAAATCATGGACGTTTAATTTAATCAAGACATTGGAGAATGAAGCATCCATATGAAAATCCAAGAAAGGAAACAAATTAGTTAGATTGTTAGACTGAATATAACTCTCGCTCTATTCTCTGTAGAAGCGGGTGTGCAAATGAAAGATCAAGAAAAGATAGAACAATCTAAAGGAAGTCTTCAAAAGAAAAAGTTTAGAGAGCGATTTGAATCGAAGAACACCATCTCTCTCAATTGAAGTGTTGAATATATACTAGATTTAGAGAAAGTATTCAATAAAGATGTGTTTAAGTAGTCATCGCTTTGAATATTTTGTTTACAATTTACACAAACTAGGCAAGATCACCATTAGCATATTGTGATACAGTGAGTAAATCCATGAAGAATACCGTGAGGTCGGATGAAGGGTGTTTACTTCATCAATCTTGGAAGTGTTTCAACAAAGACTATGTTAATGATCCAAAGAGGTGTGTCACTTGGTAATCCCATTTGTGTTTGGATTTATGCACTTAGTGGATTGGGTATTCATTGATTCGAGACCCCCCCCCCCCTCCTAAAAAAAAAAGATATTGGAGAGGTTTTCATTTGAACTGGGTAAACAAATTGCTTGTTTCAGTTTAATTATATATCAGTGATAGGTGTAGTTTTTAGTGTGGTGGATCGAATGAAGTGAAAGAGTGTAAACGGAAGTGTGGAACTCCCTAGTGTCGAACTCAAGGATGGCCGTTCGGAGTAAGTAAAGTGCAAGACAACTAGGTGTCACAATGTATCAATATGATAGACTAGGTGCAAGGTAGAACGTGTAGAAATGGGTCTATGCAAACATTGGCAATCAAACAAAGAAGGAAAGAAAATGAAAGAAACTAAAGAGAACAAACAAGAAGGTAAAATGGGGATTTGGATGGAAAGGATTTGTGATCATGCATTCATTGGTCTTAAACTTGGGACAAGAGATGATGCAAAGCTTGACTAACCTAAGGGAGAACATTCTATCAAACACTTGGTGGGGGGTCTACCGTTTCCTCCCCTAAGCTCGCCCTCTAAGGTCGTAGGAAGGGGATTGCAAGGGCAAGAATAAGAAGAGTGCAATCTCTTGCTAAACTCCCACTCTCACACTCATATAACCATTTGGGTCCTTAATGGAAAGAGATCAATATGCACCCCTCTACAACATAGACATTCAAGGACAATCCATACATCAAATCTCATCATATAAACCATCTAAGCATGAATACATAATCAACAAATCAAATCCAAGCAATCTAAGCACTCATCATCATTAAAAGGGTAGTATACACAAATTAAATCTGAAATAATAAACAAGGAAGAGTGGTTACCCAAGTCTTCAATCTATTGTGTAAGCATCCAAGGAGAATTTGTAGAACAGTGAGTGTAGATCTTCAATGGAAATGTAAATCTAACCTAACCCTAATCTACCCTAACCTAAGAAAGCTGAATATGAGAGTAAAGGAATGGGAAAAGAAGAAGTTGTCTAAGTGATCCCCTTACAAGCCTTTAAATATGCTAAAAATCTGACTTTTCCGCGCTGGGCATCACAACTAATTCACAACTCGTGTTGTGAATTTCGTTGTGAATTTCCACCTTCCCGACAATGCGCTTACAACGCATGTTATGAGTCGCGTTGTTGCGAATTTGACTTTCTTTCCTTTCACCAATGTTTTAGCCCTTGAAGTTGTCGAACCATGACCACTAGAATCACCTTATTTGGACACTCCTAGCTCAAGATATGATCAATCTACCGAACTGTCGCCAGAATGCTCTGAAATTGGAAATGTTTTGCTATTTTTCTACAAAGTCAATGGAATTAGTCCTTAATCCTAATTTCTATCAAATTAAGCTAATTAAGCATGAATTAGGAATAAAGGACTCCAATTAAAGCACAATTTGCCTATAAAATCCCCTATAAACCATAGCATCTTTGGCACTTATCAATCATTTATTATTAGGATATCACAAAATTAACTACGCCCAAAGCAGCCATATAAGTGAACAAGAACAAATAATTGACCAATAACTTGAATTGCTATCTAATTCAACTTGAAGTTATCATACGTTCTTGTGAATTTAACTTTCAAGTACTCACAACGAATGCACACTTCATCAAAAGCTACAACTTTCGAACCAATGACACATACCATGGCTCGGGCTGCTCTTACCAAAGCCATTAACATAGAAGAAGGTTTCGCCGATGATGCGACCATAACAAAGAAACCGAGCATCATGCGGCTAGATGTTCCCAAATTTGACAGGGCAGACAAACAACGACGGATTTTTAATATCCAAGAATATTTTAATTTCCGCTAAACACCTAAACTGTAATGTTTACAAATAGTTGGATTTTGTTTGGAAGGACATGTTTTCGAATGGTTCCAATGGATGAAGCGGGACCGCATGCCTTTCGGATGGCATGAATTTCTTGAAAATGTTGAATAGAGGTTTAACACTTCACAATTCTTGGATCCTTTGGCCTACTTAGCTAAGTTGACATAAACTGAGATCATAATAAAATTCTAAGCAGCATTTGAGAAGTTACTAACCAATGTAATTGAAGTTTCTTAAACCCAATTAATTTGATACATCAAAGAGGGATGTCTGTCTAAAGCCACATTTACAGAGATAATTATTAATGGTCAAACTCAGGATGGTTTTTGCAACTTTCAAGTTTGCAAAAGCATATGAAGCTCGCCATGACTAGCTAATCACTGAATGTAGGTCTTCTTACAAAGGGAACTTACGAGTACAAACTCTATTAGATGAAAGTAAGTGGAATTCTCATATTGCTATTATTTCCCAAGTTTTTTGTAATAGGACAACCACAACCATATTTTCAACCCCCCTCCTCCCCCCCCAAGCCTTGCAAGGAGTACCGTACGAGGGTTATTACAAGCTTCAACACCTATTCAAAGCTCTTTTCTGACCATGACATTGCCCATTAGGAAGTTTTCTACTGTAGAGCTACATGAATGACGAGACAAGGGACTATGTTCTCATTGTGACAAAAAATACTCTCTCGGGCATCGTTACAAAGGATGATTACTGATGCGAACCTGGTTAGCCCGATCTTCTTTTCAAACTCTAATTTAAAGAATAGGCTAGGTGAAATCAAATATGGAGGTTTAACTTGGGCTAGTTTGGGTTTTGTTAAGTCCTCGGCCACACCGGGTTATAAGGTGGTATATAAGAGTAGGAACGACACCACAAGTGAGGTTCCACACTTGATAAGTCAGGTTTGCCATGACTAACTCACGACAGAACTCATCCCGAGTTCCAGAAAACACTCAGTTTTCTAACTCAAAAATTCTCAACTCTGTATTTCATTTCTCATGCAATGGTCTTAAATAGCCATTAACAAGCAGATTACAACCACATAAATGAGATAATTATTAAGAATATGATAAATAATCCTAACCAGCAAACTAATATAAACATGAATAATAATATAATTCTAACAAAATAAATCTAAAATAATTTTAAAATAATAATTCTAATTAATTAATAAAACTAATTCTAAAATATTCTTACAGTTCACGTGGCCACAACATTCCCTCTCTCTTTAGAGGGATTTGTCCTCAAATCCACGTTCTACGCACCGTTGAAGCTCCATGAGTATTTGTGAAGAAACAACCGCGTGATCTGATACCAAATGATGTGAACCTAATTGGCCCGATCTTCTTTTCACACTCTAATTTAAAGAATAGGCTAGCTGAAATTAAAAAAAAAAAAACTGGAGGTTTAACTTATGCTGGGAAAAGGGCTAATTTTTGGGTTTTGCTATGTCCTCGACCACACCGAGTTATAAGGTGATACGTAGGTCTCAGGAGAAACATAAGCATGTTTGCAACATGTCAGCAAGTTAGAAGCAGTCAACAAGTTAGAAGTCCTCTCAGAAGTCTATATATTTTTTTTATTTATGTTATGTGTGTTTATTAGCAGCAGTTAAAGCTTTCACATCATGTATATAAACCTTCAGACTTCCCCTGTTAGAGAATAATGAAAACATTCTTTCTTCAAATGCTTAGTCCCCTTTCAGTTGTTAGTTTACATCTCAGCAGCGCAACATGGTATCAGAGCGTTGAGAAGACAACTTTGAAGCGTATCTTAAATAGCAGCATGGCCTTCGATCGGGGCAAGGACAACTCCGGCTAACAGCGCGACAGGAGCTCCGGCAACTGGAAGTCCGACTCAACCCAATCCACTCCAATAACTGGATTGAACGCAGTAGAGGTAATCTTCGACCCTCAATCTCAGTCGAACCCATATTTCTTACACCCGAATGAAAGTCCAGCATTGGTGCTAGTTTCCACGCCATTGGATGATGCTAACTACCACTCCTGGGCAAGGGCCATGACAATGGCCCTGTCATGCAAGAACAAACTCAAGTTTATTGATGGTTCTATCACCAAGCCATCAAGAGATGACCAGAAGTGTGATGTGTGGGAACGCTGCAATGACTTGGTGATCTCCTGGATTGTTCGATCCGTTTCACCAACAATTGTGCATAGTGTCTTTTGGATTGACACTACATATGGAATATGGAGAGATCTTAAGCGCAGATTCAGCCAGCAAGATCTGTTCAGAATTGCAGAGATCAAGTGTGAGATCTATCAGAAAAAGTAAGGTGATAGTTCCCTGAACGAATACTTTACTCAACAGAAATTATTATGGGATGAACTCCAGATTCTCAGGTCCTCTGTAGGGTGTGAATGCACTACGAAGTGCAAATGTGGGAAGAAAATTGATGAATTGAATGAGAAAACTGAAAAGGACAAGTTGTCCATATTTCTTATTGGGCTACATGATAGGTATACTGGTGGAAGAAATCAAATCATGCTAATGAGGCCTTTGCCGGATGTGTGTGATGCATCTCTATGATAGCACATCAGGAGAGGCAGTTTCACATTGGTGCCACTGGAATTACCAACCAATTGTATCAAGCAGGAGAGGTTGGTGCTGCTAGGAGTGTTCTGATGACTAGGACAGGCACTGGTAATCAACAAAGTTTTAAGAAGTCTATAGGAGGCAACAAGAAGCCCATATGCACCTTTTTGTGGTTTCACAGGACACACAGAGGATAAATGTTACAAAATGCATGGGTACCCACCTGGTTGGAAACCAAAATCAAGAAACCAAGGATCTGTAAACCATACTCAAGGGCCCCTAGCAGTTCAGCAGTCTGATGAAGGTATATCATTCACTCAAAATGATTTTAAGAAATTTCTGGAGTTCATTTAGGTACAAAAGGCATATGGAGAAAGGGGGTCCTTGAACACACCCCTTGATCAGTCCTCTCATGAGGCACATGCAAACATCATCTCTACCAATTTGATGTCAGGAGCTCAAACTGAAGGTACAGATCTCTCACTCAATCCAACAGATTTCAGAAATAATGAGTGGATATTTGATAGTCGTGCCACCCATCATGTTGTATGCAGTTTGAATCTGTTGACAAATCAAAAAAAGGTGCAAAATATACGTGTTAGCCTACCTAATGGACAACAAGTTGCTATCACCTACATTGGATCTGTGTGCCTATCTGATGAGTTTATTCTCTATAATGCCCTTTTTGTGCCTCGATTTCAATACAACCTAATCTCTGTGGGAGCTCTCATTAAAAGTTATAACTACACCATGAAGCTGCACACTAATCAGTGTATAATACAGGGTGATATCCATGGCAAGATGATTGGAATGGCTGAACTCCAGAATAGGCTGTATCATTCGATTTCTCCTGTTGGTTTTAGATTTGTAAATAGCTTTGTTTCAAAGTTGAATAAATGTACTTTGTGGCATGCTAGATTAGGGCATGCCTCACATTCTAAACTTCAAGTGTTGCATGAGTTGGACTCAACAATCCAAGTGAATAAGAATTTGATTTGTGATTGCTGTCATTTTGCAAAACAAAGGAGACTTCCATTTCAGTCTAGTAATTCTATTTCAGAGGCTTGCTTTGATCTGCTACACATGGACATTTGGGGTCCCTATAAAACTGCTACCATCAATGGTCATAACTACTTTCTAACTATAGTGGATGATCACAGTAGGGCAATATGGATTCACCTAATGTGGAAGAAATCTGAAGTAAGAAGTCTGATTGTAGGGTTCTGCAAAATGGTTGAAACTCAATTTGGAACTCATGTCAAGTGCATAAGGTCAGACAATGGTCTTGAATTTAATATGTCTGACTTCTTTAATCAAAAAGGGATACTGCATCAAACATCCTGCACTCATACTCCTCAACAGAACAACAGGGTTGAAAGAAAACATGGTCACCTCTTATCCATTGTTAGAGCACTGAGGTTCCAAGCAAACTTGCCAAAACACTTTTGGGTGAGTGCATATTGCATACAACCTACATTATAAATAGACTGCCATCTGCTGATGTAAGCCATCAAATTCCCTATTAGATTCTGCTTAACAAGGTGCCACATTATCAACATTTGAAAGTGTTTGGTTGTTTGGCCTATACTGCTACAGTTGGCCCAAAATCAAAGTTTGATGCTAGGGCTAAGAAGTGTATATTTCGTGGTTATGTTAATGGTACAAAGGGTTATAAAAATCTAAGTCAGGGTGTTATGCCACACTAGGTCTACTAGTCTAAGTGTACAGGCTAAAACCATAACAAATCCAAAACATGGTACTGATATCAAAGGGTTTACTACATCCATCAAACATCAAAACATAACAAACTACACTAGGAGGCTACTCATCCAGCTAAGCGCGCTCGAGAGGGTTCTCTACTCCATACCTGAAATCATTTTTAAATAAATTAGAGATAATGCTAAGTAACCCCACTCCAATGTGTAAAGATGCATAGATATACATTTGATACTTCAAAATAGTTTTGAGACTTGGGAATACATAAGTATATCTCTAATCAACTCTAATTCAGTAAATCACGAGGAATGGAATCAAAACTAGACCATACAAGAGATATACTCATCCATACACAATATACCACAAGGACATCAACAGAAAGACTGAATCAACGAGATAATGATAATGGATCAAGAATAGTGAACAAGGTAAGACAATCATAACAAACAACATGGATAGTTCTCATCAAGGTTATTCAATCAACATCAACATCAAAGTTCCAAGTCCACAATGGATACAATCAACAATCATACACCGCGAAGTCAATCTCAATGACTCGATTTAAAGGTGAATCAGTGTGGACGGCTCCAAAACGGTAAATAACACATCGCGGGTCAAAGACCCGATCCATAGATTCCGCGGGGTCACGAAGACCCGATTAGGATGCGCGGGGTCACAAAGACCTGATTATGGTTTCGCGGGGTCACAAAGGCCCGATTATGGAGACAACCCTAAATCCTTAAGTATATACACCCCTTTTTTTGGGACCTCCAATCCCCAATAAGTAGACAGGTTGTCTGTATACCATCATCCCGAATCTGTAAGAAATCCCTACATTGTCCACCGTACCAGCTCAATCATCACAACAAGAATTCAATACACAAGAAATCTTAAGAGACAAAGCAAAGGAATAGATTTCTCAAGAAATGCATTCAACAATGAATAAGCTCAACCAATAGCTCAAATCATGGAATTCTCAAGGATAAGATACATCAAAGGTACAAACTCACAATGATAATTCAATCCCAACGGATATCAAGAAAGAGATACAAGAAAGGCATTCCAAAGGCAATACCTCCACATCAAAGGATTCCAACAAAGTGTCACAACGAATAGATAGGCTCAAGTTATTAACTCAATCAAGAATCAAGCATAGGCTATCACAAGGAGTCATACTAGCATCAATAAACAACATGCTAATACACAAACCAAAGAGTAATCACAAGGGTTCACACGAGCATCATAGACTTCATCAATAATCCAACGAATAGCAATATTGGATGTTAACAACGATTCAAGAATCAAAACCTAACCATTGGGTTCATAATACACCGCTCTAGACTTACGTAACATCAATAAATACTCATAAATACACGGGAGACAACAATTCAAGAAGACAACAAATCCGTACCAGGGGGAGGTTTGGGCGGGTACAAAAGGTCCCGCCGAAACTCCCCTTCGTACTAGTGGGTGGTTCCGGCTGGACCCAAACCATCCGCCAGAACCCCCTTCACACACACTGTACCGGGTGGGTGTGCCAATGCCCGCCCGAAACACCCGCTGGTACCAAAACCCTGTAGAATAAAATTGCTCGGGAAAAATTCCAAGAATGTGCAATCCAAGTCCAAACTCAACGAAACTCATGCCAACAACAAATATGAATTTGAATAGAAGAAATTGCACATCAAACACAAACATACACCTAAGATTCAAACTCTAACATAAGTATAAACATAAGAATATTCTCATACACATCAAGAACATCAAGAATACACATTGTATAGTTTAAAATAGGTTTTCATGGACATAGGGTTACCTTCATAGCTTAGCAATCCAAAACAATGCTAACCTAGGAGGCCAGACGTCACTCCTGCCGAAAACAGAGGAGGTGGTGAAGATCTCTAACGGAGGGGAGAATCGCAGACCGCCGCCTGCTGACCACGCACGTCGTTGACCGCCGCTGTCACGATACTCCTTGCCGCCGCTAACCACCGTAGCCGCTACTGACCAAGTCCACCACCATCAACGCCGGCTATAGCTGGTTCACTTCACAACCCACGTCCAAGGAGGAGAAGACAGATATAGGAGGGGTTGTCTGTCAGAGACGAAAGAAAAAAGACGGAAGGGGGTGTTTGGTTGCTGAATGTATAAAGAAGAAGGTGAGGCTGCTGGTTTTTGAAGGAAAGAATGGCAAACATATATACATTATATTCATGTACATATATATATTTAGGTTTAAAAATAGTAGGGTAGCTATAAATGGGTTGGGCTAGGCTAAATATAGAAGGTTGGGCCAAGTAGGTTGGGTTTGGGTATGGTTCAAGACTACAATAAATATTTATATATCTACATATGTATATATGGGCTTAGTGTAACACCCCAGATTTTCAAGACATTTAAAACTTATAATAAAGGTAGAATCTTATTAAATCCCAAGATATAAATACAAGCGTTCGGGGTGCTATGCCACACCTGGGCTAGAGAACCCAAGTGCACAGGCTAACTAACTAATATCCTCAAAGCGTAAATATGTAAACGTGGCACGCAGGCCAAAAGGGAAACTATCTACTTCTAAGTTCTAGCGCACTCCAGTGACTTAATCTTCTGTGCCTGAAAGCCAAATATATCTGTTCAGCGAGAGATGCTGGTAACCCACTCCAACGCGTTGAAATACAATACATATAGAGATATATATAGATATACGAAAACCATTTTGAGCATGAAGATATATCCTACGAACTCTAGCTTTAAAACCGGGAATGACTCGACAGATAAGGCCAGACACAAGCAACAGTTATAACGAGCATATGCAGTTCACAACAGATAAGGCAGATAAGGCAAAACATAAACAATGATCATAACCCAACATGAACAATCCCCAACATAAATCCCATAGTCACATCCCCCAAGATACTCGTAATCACAACTCGTCCATGTCACAACACATAACACACTTTGTTGGCGCCACAGGACCAATCGCATGCCCATACATGAGGGTCAGCGCATATAGCTCTGACACGGCCCCGCAGCACCCTGCCCCGTATCGCAACACGGAGGGGTCGATCGCAACCGACCGATGAACCGCAGCTCATCATAGTGTTTGATCGCAACCAAACAGTGGACCGCAGCCCAAGAGAATGTCATATGACCGCAGCCAGGAAAAAGGACGAACCGCAGCTCGTATAGAAATGTTTGATCGCAACCAAACGGTAGACCACAGCCCAAGAGTATCAATCTGATCACAGCCAGCTTCTGAACCGTAGCTCAGGATAACCAAT